TACTAATAGCAGACTTACTTTTCTTTGTGAATTGAATAACTTACCAACAGAAATATCTACTAATTAAATGTAAAACTATCTGAACAAATGAAAGTATAAATGTGTAGAATTAAAGTTTTAATTTTGAAAACAGTTACATAATTTTTATTTTGAAGTACAATCTTTCCCTTAGCAAATCACATGTATGTTGTTTTATTTTCCTTCAAACAAGATCTTACTATGTAGTCTAGGCTTGCCTTAAATTCATTATGTAGCCAAGTTGTCCTCGAACTCACAGTGATCCTCTTATCTCACCTTCCTGAGTACTGGAATTACAGGCATATGCCACCACACCTGGCTTACATGTATGTTTTAAAGGGAAAAGTAGAATAATTTTACTAGGTATTTTAAAAAAGAAACTCTTACCAAAGTATTTTCTTTCAGGTAGACCCTACCCCATTAAGTTTTTGCTATCTGTTATTTTATATAACATCTTTACTTTAGAAGTCTTGAAGAATATTGTGCTTATATTTAGATGTTCTCCCAAAGCCTCATGAGGTCATAGATAGATCTTTTTGGAGATGGCTGGGTCTAGGAAATGTGATGACAAAATCAATGCTGTGATAGCAGAATTGATTCAACATGCGATACTAAGATTAATGATGTCCTACTCTGGGTATGAGTGCTATTCACTCAAAGAGCGGTAAAGTGTAAAGGGTGGAAAGAGTGCTGCTGACATAGCCTGCTGTTTCGCAGCCTTATGCTTCCATGAACCATTTTTCCTCTGTGATGTTCCTCTGCCATTCCATTCTGCCTTGGCAGCAACCAATTATGGACTGAAATCTCTACAAACACTTTGCGAAAATAAACCTTTCCCCCTTTTAACTTTGCGTGTTAGGTATTTTTATCTTAGCAACAGAAAAAGTATTTTAAGGTCATTATTTTATTTGAATATCATTTCAATATATTCAAGGAGGTATAGTGATTAATCTCACTTTTAGATGAAGAAATTGAAGCTTTTGTAGGTTAACTTTGCTCTCAAAATATATAATGCAGCTAACAGATGTAGCGTTAATGTTTCCAGAAGAACAGTAAAAGTACTGAAAATAAACATGTGAAATTAACTAGAATAATATATTTAACCAAGTACTCAAATATGTATCGGTTCATGTAACTGGTGTATAATATTAACATTTTATATAAATATGTGTGTATGAATATTTATGTACCATGTCTTTAGAATAGGATGTGAATTCCATAGTCTCAGTATGATTCAACTTGGGTGATCTAAATAGCCACAGATGGTTAATTTTTACCTTACTGAGCAATGCAAGTATAAAGGTAAATTTGTCTGAAAAGACCTAGCTAGAAAGTGGCAGAACTGGGACTGCAAATTTGATATAAAACCAATGTGTTTTTCTTAATTATCAAATATCACTGTCTCCTACTAATTGCAATCTTTGTTGATGGCTTAATATTAAACATCAAAAGGATGGATAATGCATTTTATACAATCTTATCTGTTTTCACAGTAGCAAAGATGATCTATTGACTATAGCATTTATGAACAAGTTATAGCTAAATTTGCTATGTAAAACAAAAAATTAATGAAATTTGTTACAACTGACATATGATACAAAAATAATTGTGTATATGCATAAATGGTACATTTTCTCTCTACAAAGAGACTATATAAGCAAAAAAAAACCCCACAGTCAATTGCAGATGTCTTGATAAGGGGTGTTTCAATGTAAGGGCAATTGAAATAACACATTATCTGATCTGTTTCATCAATTTTATATCAAAGGGTGTTTTGCCAGAGAGAAGAAATGTACATGAATAAGCAATGTCAATTCTCCTTATTGTATCTTCCTTTACTAGGACACCATGGTTGAGCAATTAGCCTTCAGATTAACATATTACTTTTAAGTTTTAATCAATTCTGATAGGCTCTAGTCACTGTAGTTTTTAGAAACCTCTTCTTTGATCCATTATATAGCCATATAATGGCTTTGTCACTTAAACTTAAGATTAGGAATATTTCCATGTTTATGGGCATGTGTATTACCATAATTACATTTTTATTATTATAACAGAACCATGGTTAAGGTTCTTAATAGGAACACTAAAAAAACAAGATATGTTAAATATCACAGTTCCTTCCTGTGATCTGTTTGTAAAAAAGCAGATTTCCACTGTACCCTCTTTAATTCTGAAGGCTTTAGTTAATTAAATTTTTGATAGAATATACATTGTGCAAAGATTTATCCATGCAATCTGAAGATCACATGTTGAGGGATAGCAAAATAGACTGGAAATAGAAAAATTTGTATTTTCCAATTCTATATTTTACAGCTATAAAACTTTTAATCTAGTTTTTATTTACTCGAGTTAAAAATAGATGGACCTAATAATATGTCCTCATAGCAATTTTTTTTGGTACTGGGAATCAAACTCATGACCTTGCACTTGCCAGGAAGGCACTTGTAACACTTAACTAAATCCCCAGCCCTCATAGTAATTTTTTTAGGATTAATAAACAATTTATATAATATAGATGGTGCATAAATGCATTTCATAAAGGTAAATCTTTCTCTCTAGGCAGAGCAGATTTCTCAACAACCTGTTAAGAGTTAGAAAGAGCTTTTGTCAGCTATCTTAACCTTTGGTTATTGCAGGGTTCGTTGATACTACCAATAGTCAGAACATGAGAGAAAACAAGATGGGAAATTTCTTTTAATTAATTTTATATCAGACTGTCAGACTTTTTCACAAACTAAATTTCTCAGATGATTTTTTGTACTTAAGTTCTATTGTAGTTCTAGTCTTTCAGTAATGTGTCTACTTTACAGATAGTTTTCTATTGGACAATACATTTAAAAGTAAACTTTGTGCTTTATACTATAGAAAAATTCAAATTATAAAATACCCATGCCTATGTAACTGAATTTAGGAGTTATTCATGCTAAATGAAAATCTATAGTCTGTATTTTTAGCTCCATAAATGTGTAATTATCTATCTTTCATGAGATTCAGTTTCTTAAATAGCAAAATGGACATAATAATATTAACTTTATAATCCTTCATAATCCTTATAACTTAAAATCTTTAGAACAGACACTGAATAGTTCTCTCCTCAGGTTGAGATGGAAATCTTCAGAAACCAATTAATTAGTGTCTAACATATGCATTATTGATAATTATTAGTGCTTTTAAAGTACTATTAAATGGCTTTGTTACATTTTCCTAGATCAGTGATTTTACTTTCATTGAGTTCCTACTAACTCTTATGATACAGTATCATTCAACAGTGCAAACTTCAAGAGACAGAGCTGTAAGCACTTGACAGCTTCTGATTTCATCTCACAAAAAGAGGACAATGGCTGTGCTAGACAGTATGAACAATGTACAAAAGGAATAAAATGTAATAGTAATTTATCTACCTAGAACTTTTTGAAGCAGCAATTCTTTATGTTTTCTTTCATATTGATGAACTTCTCCCAGTTTCTCCCAATAGCAGTTTTAATTGTAAAAATCCAAGTTAAAAATCAAAAATGAACAAACAAACAAAACAGGATGTGAATAATCAAATTTTCAATGTTTAAAAAATCAGAAATTGGAAAGGAAGAACAAAATCGAAGACACTGGAAAAAAGTCACTATAATTGCCCTAAATTTGAAAAAAAAAAAAAAAAAGAAAAGAAAAAAATTCCACGAAGAATTAAAGAAAACTCATAATGATTAATAAAATGTTTACTTCTTATTATTCTATCTCTCTGCAGTTGCCATCCCACATTCCATTCAAAAAACAAAAACTTAAAAATTAGTTACTCTACTAATCACAGTCTACCTTGTGGACCTTTCAGCACAGGAGAGACTCCTTTCCTTTTAAAGTCAAAGCACAGTACCAGAAACAAAGTTTCTCCAAGGGTTAAGACTAGACCGTGGAATTTTCGCCTTATGCCACACATAAGAGTAATTCACAGAATTCACCTGGTTCTTTGGCCTCTGGGTAAATCGCTTTTAATCCCTTGCCAGAAAAGGAGAATTGACCTCTGCTTCTTTATACTCAGAGCACATCTGAGCTAGAAAGTAGACTCACAGTCCCTAGTTGCTTTAGTGGTCTTAAGAGCCATAGCATCCCCTATGCCTGACCCGGAGAGTCTGGCTCAGCAGCTGGAGTGAGCTGCCAAAGGCTGGTCTTGCGCCTTCCGTCCGTATTCTTCCTTTTTCTGCTTCCTTTCCTATCTGGTAAACGCCCTGTCCATGCCCACGATGATGACGGCTCCCCAGCAGCGATGCAGCCAGAACCTTGTTAAAAGCAGGACGTGGAAATTCACCTCCTAAAGCTTACTTTTACTTGTGCTCTGGAGTAGCCAAATGCTGATCTCTGCCCCGCCCCCACCACACCCTAATTACACCCGGACTTTGAGTAGGACAAAGCAACCCAAGCATTATTCCTAGCTCACAGTAGAGTATGCTATATTGTAGAAACAAGATCTTGACTCAGACTGCCCCGGGCTGCCTCTACTTCCACTAATTTGTCTTAAGTATCCTTTGTACGAGAAAATGATTTTGCTTTTCGAGTGTTTGCTCTCTTGCTGGAGTCAGGGCAGGGAGGCAAGTCCTGAGAAAAACACAGAATAAGAATAACAAAACTTCTGTAAGATAATGTAAGTGAGGGAAACTTAAAGGACAGGCTAAGAGAGCAATGAGCGACAGACCGAAGGTAGTAATGTACGTCATCATTTTCTTTGTTCGGAGTAGCTGCAACATGAATTCATGAGAATTCCCAAGCAGCGGTTCCTGCGTGCGAGTGTGCAGACACCACGAATTCAGCCTATGACTCCAGGCAGTGAACAGTAACTTGCTGAGTTAACCACCATGGCCTCCCTCCTTTTGCAGGTTGATTCTTAGTTGCAAGGAAGAACCCGCCTCCCGAGCAGAGGGGTAGTGGTGCAAGTAGTGGGGGTCAAAAAAAAGGGGTACCCAGCAGGCAATGCGGCATCATTCCCTCCTAGCAGGCAGCAAGAGCACTGATTCACTTCTCATCTTCCCAGCTACTAGCTAGCCCCTCTGCCTGCACCTTTCTCGGGCTCAGATTTTGTCCTCCCCCTCTCGATTTAAAACGGTCCGCTCCGCCCAGTCCGCAAACTAGAGTGGGAGGAGCAGCGAGTCACAGCTGCATGCCAGGGCCAGTGCGGCAAGGCAGAATGCAAGCAGGAGTGGGCAGAATGGTAGTGCCAGCGGCGACACAGACGGCACAGGCAGTTCAGACAGCCTCAGCGGCCTGAACAGCCTCAAATACAGTTTCTACGACTTCAGCTGCTTCGCGTAGAGCCCGCAATAACAATCGCTGTCTCCGAGGAGCGGGTGGAAGCCTTTTCTTTCTTATGGTTACCTCTTCGTCTTGCTCAAAAGGTGTCGCAGACTACGTAAGTATCTGGTCTGGGAGCCAAAATAGACTGCAGCGCGGGAGGCATGACAGGTCTCGCCATTAGTGAGCGGAGATTGCTAGGTGCCAGCACGTGGAATCCGTACTATGACCACAGAGGGGTTTTCAAGAAGCTTGTGGTGTGTCTTCTTCCCTTTCTTCTTTCTCTTCCCTAGAGATAAAAGAAAGAGCAGAGGAGTAAGCACAGAAAGGCTACGTTTTTTGCACTGCCACCACAAAGTTTGGTTACTTTGCTAAAATTCACTTTTATCAAGAACGTGTCCGCGAATGAATCTCAGCTGTATTGGTTATGCAAAAATGTCTTTCACCTTAACACATAAGCAGTCAGCTTCAGCAAGGATGCAAGAAATTGTAAGATCTGCGCAGATGCAGGGAAAAGAACATGCCTTAGACTCCTGGGATGGCCTGGTGGACGATTCGAATTGAGGGGCAATAGAGCTAAGAATCCAACTACCTATCTTTTGCTGTCTCCACACTGGTAGCCTCTCTTTGCTGCTGGAATTTGGAACCTTGACAGGCTTTCTTTAATGCTTTAGAGGCTGGACCACTGGCTCAAAGCTAAGGAGAGCCCGATCAGTGGCTTACATGGTACTACTAGCAGGTTCTCCTGATATTGAATCCCCGCCTGCCTTTGCTATCCTTCCTGCCCTATTTACCAGGTTGTGCTAAAGCAGCTCATGCAGGATATGGAGACTGTAAGTGTGGACATTTTTTACCTTTTTTTTTTTTTTTTTTTTTTTTTAATTTTAAAGCAACTTCTCATAATCGAATAGCCCAAAAACCAGTATCATTTTCTCATTTTAAAAATTACTTTCTAAGAGTGTAGCCCAATATAAAAGGGTTTCTCATTCTTTAAAGAAAAGACACGCAGTTCCTTAGCTGAAAAACAAACAAACAAACAAACAAACAAAAACACCCACCTATCACCTAAATACTTGGCGCTATGACCCTAAAACAAATTCATCTCTCTAAAAAGGAATTATTTCCTAAAGCGAGTATAGTAATATGGCTCCTTTTAATGAAATGTCTGTCAATGTTTGCGTCATTGGAAGAGGTGATTTTTTTTTTTAAACACAAATCAGGGCATTTCATTACAGACTTTAGTAGAGCAGAGGGAATGTGGGCCTTGGGTTAGAGATAGGACTTACACATTTGTGTTTAGTCAGTTACAAATTTACTCTTCCCTGGGGGGGGGGTGGTCACTAATACCAAGTGGGAGTGCTGTTTTACCCTGCCAAGGAAAGAATTTTAGAGGTTAACTGAGTACATTTCCTTTGCTTCCAGAATGACTTATTATGGCTCTGCTGTTTTGTTCACCGTTGTGGCAGGGAGTGTGGTTCGCTGAGATGGGTGTGTGAACTCCGTGTGTGCGTGCATGATGCCGGTGGGTCCTAGCCTCTGAGAGCAGGGTGTCCTTCCAAAAGGTTGTCTCCTGTCTGAGACACTGAGGCACACAGTTACAAAGGAAAACTGGGAGAGACAAGGGCATAGGACAAAAGAGGTCATAAAAGTGAATCACCACAGCAATAAACGAAATACAAAAGTGAGCTTCCTTATGTAAAAACATGCAGAGAAAGGATTTAAACCTAGCTTAGGAGACATACTACATCTACACAAATTATGTTATGTGCGAGGGAAAAGTGACTGAAGATCCATGTAGAAGGAAAAGGGGGCAAAGAAATGGAGTTGGAGCGATGCTTTTGGAGAAGCAGCGTGTGTGACCCTAGATAGCGCTACAACTAGAAAACAGCCTGAGGAACTGGGATTCGGAACACTGAGCATCACATCAGATAAGGTGTCATAACTTCTCGACTGAAATAAAACGTCTTCCTCTGTGGAAAGTAAGGCAGGTGTGACTCAAATAAAAAAAAGGGAGGGGTGGGACCATCGCAATTTGGTAGAAACCAGATGGAATTCTACTTACAATCTTTTTTTCCCCCACTTGTAATCGCACTTCACAAATTCTTGAAATTGATGCTGGGAAGTGTCAGGACCGTTCCCCAGTGTGTGTGCGTGTAGGGGTGCATTTGAAAGCTATTCGAAATAATGGTATATGTGTATGTCCCCTTTCTTGTCTTTGTGTGGTTCATTGGAAGCGGCCTGGACTTTGTGAGGTTGTTTTTGGCGAAACAACCGAGAAATAAGCACAATCCGGTCTAAAGAAACCTTTTTTTTTTCTTTGCTATATTAAGAACTGCTGCGCGAAGCTCCAAGCTCTGGGTCTGGCCACTGCTGTCTGAGCTCTGAGCTTTACAAGCTGTGAGGATAGCATCCTTGGGGGATTCCGAGATTCTAGTTCTTTTGTTGCCCTCTCCCCGTTCTGCCAATGATGTCAGACTCCTAGAGGCTCAGAAGAAAGAGTCAGTTGTATAGGGGATCCCGGGCTGGGAGCTCACGCTGCTCAGCTCGCACTAGCTGTCTTTACATACAGCTGCCCTTGATTGCTTATCTCCTTTGAGGCGCTGACTCATTGTCCTTGCTTCCAGTTCCCCTGTTCCTCACTGGCGCATGGAGGCACTGGGAGCTGGTCAGTACTAGTTGTTGTGTCACCGTGATTTTTGAACGCTAGGATCAAACTCAGATTTAGGGTTTTCCCCTACCCTTTTCCTCCTTATCCTGAGCTCTTCCCTTTCGCGTATTTCAAGCTCCTACCTTCACTGTCCATAATACGTTTACTTATTTAGTAATATTTTAGAGGGCAAGGTTTTTTTTCTTTCCCACCCAATAATAATTACAAGTGCTAAATTCCCGCTGTCCCCTGCCCCTGTCCCGTGATAAGAGGAATGTAAAGCCCTCAGTTTCGGTAAAAATTTTTGGTAATCTTGTCGTCCATATAACGAACTCCCTAGAAGGTGCTGAGGGTTTGTTCTGAAAGAAATGATGTGGTGGTGGTAGTGGTAACTGTAATCAAAAGCTTAGGCACTGGACTGGGAATTCCCTGAACTGTAAGAAGGGAGAGGAAATTGAGAGACAAAGCGACAAATGTTCCAGCTGCTGCTCTCCTTGGAAAGAAGAGAATGTTCTTTTTTAGAAGCCTGCGCAGTCACTTCTAGAGATCTGCGCGTCAAATTTGGGAAGATTGTGAAGTATGTTTTTGTGAGAGGGAAGCCCCCCCCCTCCCCCGCCCCGGGTCATTCCTTCAGTGTTTGCTCCAGTCGTTATAAGGAGAAATTCTCCAATATCCCTAATTTAAGACTGATTTATTTTCCTCGATTGTACGCAGCTCATTATTTAGCTCTGAGTGAAACCCTGCAAGGTACAGTTGGAGAAGGCTGCACCAAGCAAGAGGGAAGGGATGAAGGCAGGACATGTGCAGGCAACTGGGATCTCAAGCCAACTTATGTTCCTAAGGAAATTATAATCTAGAGGGATTGCAGCAGCCTAATAACTAATGTATTTTGGTTTGGAGGCAGGTGGGAAATAAAGAAAAGCAATAGAAGTTAAGACTAATTCTGTTCCATAAATGTAAGGTCGCCTCCCATCACACACATTTCTTTTCCTTGTTCCTTACAATAGAAAGTTTCCCTTATATAATGTATCTCTGGCATCAAACTTAAAAAGTCGCTATACTTATAAATACAAAAATATGAAGGAAAGTTAGACTAAGAACAAGAAGTACTCATTTTCTCAAACTCAGTCATTTACTAAAGTTTGAAAAGAGCCTCTCCTTCCCCTTAACACCTTAAGATTATTCTGATGTACACCCCAAAATGTTGGGGTTTTGTTGATGGATGCTATGGCAGAAGGGGTAGCAAGTTTGACATTATTGTTTCTCTTGGTATTCAAAACTTTATGTTTGTAAGAAGCATTCCTGATAGAGTGTTTGCAGACTACTAGTAATAGGAAGAAATCTAGTGAAAGATTCAGAAAGCAATTATTATCATTTTTAACTTTTCTCAACACTATTTGTTCACAACAGCTTTCATCCAGGACTTATAAGATTTTTTCAGGAACCAGAAGAGGAACATCAGCAGACTTTATAAACCACTGGCTTTGAGCTGCGTTGAAAAAATATGTATGGCTGCCAGATTTTATACCATTGGGAAAAGAAATCATTCAGGGCATGAATATTTGAGAGCTAATTCCAAAAATCTGACTTCACATATTTCAAAGGAGTTGTCATACATTTATTTATTCCCTCCAGAATCAACAAATACTAATTAATCATATATTGTGTCAAATTATGTGTTGGGTTGCAAGAAGACTTCACAAAATGGATTATGAACAAAAAAGACTTTGGCCTCTTTGAGTCAGGAGAATCTTAGAAAACTAAGATACAACTGATAAATACAAGGGAGAGATAAATGAAGTTTGCTAAGAGGTTTATTTAAAAAAAGATGTCTGACTTTAGAAAATAACCATTCCTGATCAGTGACTAGCCAGGAATTTTATGGTGGATGCAAGTTAAATAAAAGAGTGGGAGCTTGATGATTTGCAATTGAGTTCAGGGGTATGTGTACTTCATAGATTCAGAGCACTTTTGAAGATTTTTCAAGGACATATATTAACAACAAAGCAGTGAGAATATTTCACAGTAGGTGACATAATTGAAATACTGTTGTTTGTCTTTGAATGAACGCACTGATACACCAGTACAGAAAGTGGTTGTCCATATGAAAAGGTATTGTAACAGCTGAAGAAAATATTAAATGAAGGTGGTAGAAATTCATTGCTAAAAAAGAAAGCAATGATACTCTATGGAATAAAATTTGCTTTTCTTATTTATTATCATTGTATTTAAATCATCTTACACATTGAGCTTTCATATTTCCCATCTTCCACCAAAAAATGTAGACACTTTTTTCTCTTGGATTCTGGTACTCCTTCAGCCACTTACAAGCATAATAATCCCCACCCACTCCACTTATTATGTGCATTCTTCCATAATGTATCGGGGATCTGGCCAAGATCCCGTCTCCCAAATAAGTGTATGGCAATGGCTTAAAATAAATAAGACAAGTGGTATGATTTTAGGGCTCC